TTTTACAAACGAGACGGTTTTATCACCCCTTTGGATGGATGATTTTTTTTAATCCACAAGTATTTGGTGTAATTTACGAGTTTGTATAATCGTAATCGTATCGTAATCGTAATGTCGAGTACATTACGATTACGATACGATTACGATTACCCCTACCGTTCCCCTATTGCTGGCGTTATCGTCACAGCCTATTAAAGTCCACTGCCGAACAAAGGCCTTCCCCATAGATCGTCCCATAGGGGGATATTTTCCGTAGCTTCTGCGTCTGATAAAAAAGTCGGAAACCGCACTTTTTTAACTTTAGTAGTTATTAGGAAGACGCTGCTGACCACGGGATGATTTTTTTTTAATAGAAGAGGGGGCAAACGAGCACGCGGCTCACCTGATGTTAAGTGACTACCGCCGCCCATGATATGGGGTAGTGGATATTTTTACACCGACATTACACGGTTCCCCTATTGAGGTCCATTATTTTCTTGGTTAAAATTTACAGAGAAAAGAATTTCAGTAGTGATAAGGCGGTGAAAACGCCTTCAAAAAGTCTTTTCTCGTTCCCAGGATTTCTATAGAAGAACGATCAATGAATTTTTATTTAACTGCCAAAAGTGCATTAAAAAGACCGCTACTTTTTAATTTTTACTTTAATTTTTACCGTTATTTTTTTAATGAAAGGGAGTTTATTTTGAAAAACATCGGAATTGTACCTAGCATTTCATTGGTCGTATCATTTCGACGAATGATTTTTTTTAATAAATCAAGTTAATTATTAAGATGTAAAAATGTTATACAAAACTGTATTTTATTTCTACCAAGGATAACGTTGCCAACAGGCGAAGCATTTCCGGATTTTAACATTAATATAAATTGAATTTTCATCTCAGTTTTTAATATCCAGGTAAGTACATAATATTTAGACTTACAGCCTTTTTGCTACCTCTTAATTTAAAGTATTTCTTTTGGCACGTACATTTCGCTTTACAGGGTCAGTGATTTGAATCCCTCCTTTAGTAAATAGCCAAATGAATGAAAATCTCCATGTTGATACAAAGAAGAAGCCTTTCATCAGTCATTATTATCACTATCGGTCCGCAAATAACCTAAAATTTATTTCCATCGTTTCCCAAAGTCTTACGTCTTGAATGCTGATTTTACGGAGGCCCTCGTGGAATGCTACGTCAGTACTACTAGTATTTTTCCTTCATTTAAAACAGAAAATAATACATAAATAAAATACTTAAGAATGATGTTTCTTAATATATCTATTGCTAATATAAGATAAGGAAGGATATAAGAATATAAGAGGTGTGATCAGGATTGGAGTAATTTTTTTTGGCCAGTACGGAGCTACAGTGGAATCTGGACTCTTTACCAATAGAAGTTAACTTTGCCTTTGAGGTACGAAATTACGATTTATACGAACAACGTAACGTTTTTCGGGATATGCCATTTTTTGGATGAAAATTTAATAACTAATTGATAGCATTGTTGTCGATATGGCTACGTGAAAGTTAATTTTAGAGTATTATTTTAACGTGGAATTGTGCTGGCGATTTAACCTCCTTGTTCAGTGCTTCGGAACTTTTGTTTTAAATACTAAATGTAAGTATCCATATCTATGTAGCAACGTAATAATAATGGTTTTGGTTTTTAATATTTCGTTTTTAACATGGTGGTATTAACATTTTGTCTATAAAACCGACTTGGCAAAGTAACCATTACTTGAATGCCACGATGTGACGATAACATTACAACAACAACAACCCTTGGTTGTAACAAAACATGCCTATGTTTTGTTACAACACTTTTAATGTATATATTTGAACCGATAACGATAAATCAAAGAAAATATTCTGTACTTGAAGTTCTATGTATGTATGTCTGTATAGATATTTCACCGTAGTAGCCATTTAGATCAAATTACCAAATGACTTGTCGATCGATTCATCGCTATCAAAAGTTAAGGAAAAGAAAAGAGAAATCCATATTAATTTTACTGTGTTGTCAGTTATTAATAATATTATTACTTACTATATTTGTTATTTTTTTCAGCTTGGTGTGTTGATATTAATTTGCACCCAAATAAAAGCGGCATTGATAATGATTGTTAATAATGATTGATTTAAGCTTGTTATTGCACTAACATGACTTAAATTTAGAGGAGAGTGTTTATGATATATTTTAGACTTATGACTTAAAAATTATTATAAAAAGATTTAAAAAATTTAGTAATGTACGTAATCAAAAAATTTTGACTACCCTGACACACATTTTCTAGTTGTATGAAAAATTGCAAAACGGGAGGGCAACTTTGCCACAAGCGTAAATTTTGCTATTTGTAGCACAATTAAAAGAGCAAATCAAAACTCTGAGTGTTGTGTATTATATTATGAGGTTAACTTACCTTCATACTTGAATTCAAATCCTATTATTTTCATTATAAACCATGTTCGCAAAGTTGCCACAACATGAGGTTAAATTTTCCGTTTTCTACTTTTGAGTATTTTTGAGTATTTTTCTTATATATTAATAGCGTTAAATACACAAAATAATCAATTATTTAACGTTAGAATTTGTTTAAATCACTAATAAATACAAAATCTATAAAAAATACAGTGTCACTTTTAACATTGATGCCCAGTCTGAGGGTACCTTTTATGTAAGATAATTGGTCCTAAACTTTTAAAGTCCTTCCAAAAATGGCAAAGTTGCCAGGTTTCACGGTACATTGAAAGTTGTAAATCAACGAAGTTTACCTAAATACTTTTCGTAAAGTTAATTGCGAGTTTCACAAAGTTTGTTGCCTTGTTTTAAAATCTTTCCATAGTTAGTAGTATACAAATATTAATCAAGTTAATTTACGGTAAGGGCTACCTTTATTATATTACCTACTTTAAAATAATTGCCTGAAAATTTGGGAAACGTAATAACTCTGCTCGATAGTGGATTTATTTTAAAAGTCCCCTGAGTATACGTTACTATTGTGAAGGATTTTTCTTCCTTTTGATATTTATTTTTTTCTGAATATTTACAATAACTTTAACGGTTTTTTGGTTTAGTGGGTGCAGTAAATAAGCGTGTACTTGGCCGCGGCACTGCGTGGTTAAATTCCATACGGAACAGGTGTTCGTATGGCCTGCTATTCGGATATATATTTTTTAATTTATTTATTTATTTACCACAATTTGATTGTACACACCTTACAGAAATATACAAATGTTGTGTTAGGAAGAGATTTAAAATTTTATTGAGTTTTTTGTATAAATATGGCCTTCTGCTGTATGAATAGTTACAATAAGTTGAATAAATTTAAACGAAATTAATATTTACTGCAATTTAGTTATTATCTCAACTTAGTACATCAAATTGAAATTTGTAAATCGGAAATATTACGGCAATTATTGCTTCTCTTGAAACTAGTCATACACTAAAATAATTATATATTAGTTATTTTGTGACCTGTCGAGTAGATGTGTCATAAATAGAACAAAACTTGCAATAGCATATTTTCGGTATTCCTTGGTAGGTATCCTACACTAAATTACCATTAATGCGAGATGATGATCACGTAGAACTTTTTCAACAAGTTATGGGGCTTCTTTAGAGCAGTGGCATGCAATGACAAAATTAATGTTATTTTGCTTTTCAATCGTGAAAATTTATTTATTTCTAAAGAGTTAAATTGAATATCTTTCACTAGCGTATTTGGATAGCGTTTTGATCGATCCATTCTATTAAGCTCCAGGGACTAATTTAGGGCGTGTCGTTGTAGGAAGTTACGACCGGGTAAGAGATGCAGAGATGCAAGTCGATGGATGCAAGTAGCTCAGAACTGTGCTTTTTGGCATACCTTGGGTGGGGCCCATTTTCTATTTGATGGCAGCCTTCTGGTTTCTGGCTTCTATTTGATGACGATAACGATGTTACTTTGCATATATACGTATTTTCTTACGTGGCCTAGATGTCCGGTTTGGTGGGCATTACTCACTTATTTATTTTTGCCGCTAAACAACGAAGCATTTACTATTGTTTTCTAGTTCGAAAAATATGGAGCACCAGCATAATTACAGGCCGTGAGGCATTTTATATTAGCCCTTAGAGGCAACGCAAATAGCAAAAAATAACCTTTGGTTGAAGTTGTCTACAGGTGTCCATGGGTCCTGCAGAAGCTATTTACGATCGTTTATCACTTTTATCTTGTCAAAAAGTGAATAATAATGTAATATGTGCGTATAAATTTTGAATACCCACATGTGTATCACATATATACATGTCATTTATTTTTTTATGGAGCGGTTACAGCTCTTTAAGAATATTATGATTATTTTTATAACTATTGTATAATACAGTATTGGAATATATAAAGCAGGATTTGAGGAAATATAACAACTACATAAAAGGACAATTATTGAAACCGTTACCGTCACCGTTGCTTATCAAAAGCCCACTTTTAAACAAAGGCTTTCCCCATAGATTACCTCATATGGGAGATATTTACCGTATTTGTCACGCTTAGCAGACGGGACCCCATCTCCTGATTGGGAAACAAACCCGTTACGACTCCCACGAGACGATACGGTGGTTGTAAATATACTCATTATTGATACATTATTGCAAGTGATTTTAACTCGTAATCACTAGTAGATTTTTTAAATAAAGTTATTATATATTTAAGAATAATATACATATGTTTAAATAAAATGTGTAAAACATTTTATACTTAATTTCTTTATAATAATCAAACACAATTTGAAGTTTAGTTTTTTTTTTTGTTTCTTCGTTCTCTAATCTTCGCCTTTAATGAAACGTTAAAGAACGTATTAAAATAATTACAAATATTTATTCGGTAAGATAATATAAACGCAAAGTTACTTAAATCAAAATAAATAATGTATATACATTTATAAAATAAGCATAATAAACCATTTAACATTTGTTTTAATACAATGTAAGCTTGTCAAATAAAAACCAAAATCGTTAATACAAAACAATAGTATCCTCACCAACGGTATCCTTTAAACAAATTACAGTGTGAATCACAAGTCCGAAATTTAAATAGAACAAGAGTTTCCTTAACAACATTATTTCATAGGGTAGTCCCAAAAAATCCGCAGAAATTTCACTAAAAATGCACCATGGTGAAATTGTAACGTATTTTAAATTAAAACAGAAACTAAAAGCGTTTCTTAGCGCGTAGACTGGTAACGTTACGCTACGACGTCTCGACCCCTACAACCGAGAGGGGAGACTGCCTGAACGCTTATTCGTAGGCGGTCTTATTCACAAATTTTTGTCGACACGTTGCACATGCGCTTCTGTTTTCCAGGTATTTTCTATTAAATAAAAAAAGTAATAAATATTCATCTTTTGTTTTATAATAGTATATATATATGCGTGTTTTGTACCCGACTTTCCTCGTTTTAGTATACATTTTAGATTAAAATGCTTATTTTATATTACTAAAATTACCGGACTACTCTTACATTTTCCACTGATGCCCGTGTGGCCTGGGTATTTTATATCTGGGTAGAGATGGTTTCCTTTTTCCTGGTTTACGGAACAAAATTGGCAAAGGATTCTCTTACGCCGCATGGCATAAATATAACTTTTTGGAAACTTTCTCTATCTCTATGAAACACAAAAAAGTTTCGACCTTTGTCCTGTTAGTCTTTGAAACCATCCAACCGATTTTAAATTTTTGGTTTATATTCACATTTAGATGATATGGCGAAGCGGTGGCAAATTGCTAGTATATTTTATATAATTGTAGTAAAAAAGTTTAAAGGAGACAATTGTTTTTGGGCTCACTAGATATTTTAACGGTCCTCAATGGTATTATACAAAAATATACCAATTTATTATAATAAATCTAAGGCTGGCAGACTAAAAAACGTAAGTCAAAAAGTCACACTTTTCAGGGATAAGGAAAAACTAAATAAAAAATACCGCTAAAATATAAATTCAAATTTTAATAGAATATTACGATGTTTTTAATTAATACTAACATGCACATAAATATAATTTGATATTAATTCTATTTACGTGCATAAATAAAACGCGATTTTAGAGACTTATGCACGTTATAAATAACACTGTGGCTTAGGTGTACTCGTATGAGAACAGTACATTTCTTTATAAACCAAATTTTATCTGACAAATACAAGCTAGTTGTATGAACTTAAAATTAATTTACCATGCATTATTTATATACTATTTATTCATCTTCTTCACTATCTAAAATATCAGGGTCAGTATTACGTATATTATTTACAGTAGGCAAATCTAAATAAAATCTATGAAAGACGTCGGGTATCAAGGAGAGTAAAGAAATCGAATCATTTTTTTCTTTTGATATCGGTGAGGTACTCATATAATAGTAATAGTGCCAGGTATGGCAAAAACGCGACGTTTCAAGTAAAATTTGAAAGTTTTACATTCCGTGTCCAGTGTGCCTTCGTAGGAGATGACGCCAAGTTTAGAATCATAGCGCAGCCGCTTTTTATTGAGTTATTTAATCTGTCGTACTTTTACATCTTTGTTTCTTAATACTAAAGGACCCTTTAACAACGAAGAAATATCCAAATAGTCAGAATTGCGCATTTCGACAACTTTAAATTTTTTATTGCTCGATCTAGTAAGTTGTATCCAATCGCATGATACTACTAACTTATTGGTGATAAATCTGCAAATTTGTTTTCTTTTTGACTTCCCGCTAAGAAAATTGAAAATTTTTAAAAATGGGGAAGTTATTGGTTTCACCCCGATTTTCAAAAATCGAGTTTTCATCAGATCTCGACGTTTTGAGATCCCAGGAAGACATTCTAACTAATTTCACGTGGACGTCCGTACGGATGAATGTGTGTGTATGTGTGTAAGTATTTAAACCTTTCATAACATTTGAACTTCTTGATCGATTGAAATGCAGTTTGCAGCGTTCTAAAGATTTCAATGTGGAATAGATTTGGTGATAATATGAACTTAAAAGCCACAGAAGAGCTGAACTTGCATAATACTGTCATTTTTATTCACTTGAGTACCTGTCACATGTTTTCTTTTCTTGTTACGTAATGAGAATACTTTTTTTTGGAGATTTTTCGACAGCGGTCAGTAACCGGATGAGCATATAGTATACCATTAGATGTCGACGAATCTGCTGTCGTATCGTCTCATCGATGTAAAAGTGTTAAAGAGAATACGGATATATATATCATGCAGGTTGGCCAAATATTAATATTCCATATTACGTATTTATCTTTTTATTTTCAGTTTAATTAATATAAGAGAATGTACAATACAGGAGTTTACTTTTTCATCAAAAGTTTTGGAAAAATGTCTTTTTGATTTTTAACAAAATCATAAATGGATTTGTGTTTTTGGATATATATTGTTTAAAATGTAAATTTATACATACGTAAAATATGGTCTACAATCTACTTAAATTGCAATAAATATGGAAAAATAATATATTGATAAGAATTATTATTTAGTTAAGACAACTTTACAATATTCTTACGGGCCTTTTTTTTTTGCGGATGGAAAATCATCTAATGACGCCTTTCGCTCTGGGTGGAGCGTAAGGGAGTGTCAGACTTTTACTGACTAAAAACCATCCGTGTTCCTTCAGTGCCCTTACGTTCCGGAGCCGCGGTATCTCTTTCGAACAGCCCGCAGCCCCGTCAGGCGTCGGCCCTTGCGGGCCCCTTCACGCTGCTGACAGCTCTTTGAGGCGCGCGTGGAACAAAACGCGCCGTCGACACGGCCTGTCGCCATTAGACGGACGGACGACGAGCTACCCATTGCTCGCCGTCCACAGGCCCGCGCCTACGGTGGCCGGGGGCCACGACGTAGCCCCCGACGCCCGGGGCGTCTCCCGCGGCGGCCGGGGAGGAAAGCTGCTGCTCTCTCCTTCTCCCGCTCCGCCACCTCCTTCGCTAGCATCACTGCTTCGCAGAAGGTGGTGACGGCATCCCATTCCGTCTCGCTCCGGACCATGGCTTCAACCAGGGCCGGACGCGAGAGGTCGTCGCCGCCTATCGCCGCTACGAGGACACGGCGGTGCTCCGCCCAAGCAGGGCACACCTCCACGGTGTGTTCCACCGTGTCCTCCGGTCCATCCTCGCAGTGGGAGCACCCGGGCGTTTCCTCCCGCCCGATTCGGTGCAGGAACCTCCCGAACACACCGTGTCCGGTGAGGACCTGCGTCAGGCGGAAGGTGAGGATGCCGTGGCGTCTCTCAAGCCACTCCTCAAAGAGGGGTCTTATCGCCGCTATAGTGGCGTGCTCAGCACGGGGTTGCGACAGTCGCTGTCTCCATGTCGCTATGAGATTGTGCCGGAAGTCTGTCCGCTGCGCGACAACTTGCCGCGGCAGCGGGGTTTCCCCCCGGCATAGTGCCTCCGCGCGCCATTCGTGCAGGCGCGCGAGGACTATTGCCTCCAGATCCCATGGCGGCAATCCGGCAAGGAGGCTCGCCGCCTCGCGGGAGATCGTGCGGTAGCCGCGAACCATTTTCACGGCTATCACCCTTTGGGGCGCGTTTAGGTGGTGGACGGCAAGCCGCGCCAAACCACGCGCCCACACCGGGGCCCCGTAAAGCCCCATGGACCGCACGATCCCCGCGTAGAGCCTCCGGCAGGAGGCGTTTGGCCCTCCCAGGTTCGGCAGGAGCCGCCTGAAGGCAGCCCCGGTCCGTTCCAGTTTGGGAGCCAAACGTCGGAAGTGCTCAACGAAGTTCCATCGGCCGTCGAGGACGAGTCCTAGGTACTTCAGCGTCGACTCGACGCCGATGGATACCCCTCCTACCATCACTGAGGATCCCGGTGGTGGCCTGTTCCGAGGACCATGGAAGTGCATGGCCTCGGACTTGTGCAGAGCCACCTCGAGACCCAGTTGCCGAATCCTCTCAACGACTATCGCAACCCCGCGATTTTTTTACGGGCCTAAGTTGATGTCTGGTACCTGGCACTAACGCCATCTAGTGTTGGGGAACAGAACGAAGAGGGCTTCCTAAAAAATGCCAATCTTGAACTTTCCACCAACAGTGCCATCTAGTACCGAACAGAAGAATTAAGCTTTCTAGAAGGGTCCACTCTCGAACTTTCTGAACTTAGTCGGTCGGGACCGGTATTTGCTGGAACATTCTGGATGTTTCGGTGTAAAAGGTGTATTTAAAGCCGCTCCAAGCCGCGATCGGGGCAGTATTGAATTTGGCGACACAAGCGAAGCTTCGGAGCGAAATAAAGTGAATCAGTGCGATTAATTATTAGTGTTTTTTAAGTTTTAATTGGTGTTCGGTAATAAAAGCGTAAATTTTGGTAATTCAATCAGTAGTTTTTATTGTCACGAACCCTAAGCTCTTAACAATATTATTTAATTTTAAGAGACAAAAAATTGTATGAATGAAATTGAATTACAAGGATAGCTCGTGTTAAGACCGCAACCGGGTCATATATGCGTCCTGTTGTCCGTCTATGTCCTTTGACCAATCAATAGTTTGAATTATCTTTCCAGGCTAGGTTATTAGTTTAAATTAAAGAAGGCTTCAAGCGGGGGAATGGTTGCGCGGAGAAACGAGTACTCTCGCATTTGGCTTAGTTGGATTTTATCTAGCACTGGCTAGATAACAACCAACTGAACTGACTGAATGCGCGGATGTGATGGAGAGAGGCACTAGCCTCTCTCCATCACATCCGCGCATTCCTTCAACACGCGCTGAAAGGTGTCGGGAGGGACAACAAGACCCAATTATTCCACTTTTAAAAGCACATTGGTATTTAAATGCTTTTTTATTAGTATTCAAATTTATTTGGTGTCGCAATAAATTTTACAGACGCATACATTATATATTTTTGACGATGAATTTATGTACCTATTTGGTATAGAATTATTCACTTAATATGTATCAGCTAATAATACTATATCGTGTTACAAAATAAGGTAAGTTATTAACATTGGCGAGAAACAGGAATGGACCGAGAAATAAGCCCTGAAAAACGTCTATTAATACAAGTGACCCTGAAAAACTTTTACTCTTGATAAGGACTTTCTACGTTTTGTTTCTTATATATGAAATATTTAGTTTA